CAAACTATAAACAATCCAAAAGTCCATCACTGGTAAATAGATAAGTAAAATATGGTATATCCCTACAAAAGAACATATTTGGCAATAAAAAAGAATATATTACTAATACATGCTGCTTCATAAATGGACCTCCAGAACATTATGCTAAGTTAAGCCAGATTCAAAAGACTGTACATTGCATGATCCCATTTATATGAAATGTTCAGAAAAGGTAAATCGACAAACATGGAAGGTAGGTCAGTAGATGCCTAAAGCTGGAGGTAGAAGAAGGGATTAACCGCAAGGGGGCATAAGGAAACATTTGGGGGTGATGGAAATATTCTAAAACTGGATTGCCATGATGGCTGCCTAACTATAAATTGACTAAAAGTCACCAAGTGTGCACTTACAGTGAGTACATTTTATGTTATGTAAATTATACCTCAATAAAATTGCTAAAAAATTTAATGGATAAAAATTCTAAACAGACACTTTTTACTAAAGGAAATAAGGGAATGGCAAATAAACGAAAATATATTCAACATTAGTCATTAGTTAAATGCAAATTAAAATCACAATGAGATACACCTACATATCCACTAAAATGACTAAGATTAAAATGACAATACCACAGGCTGGCAAGAATGTGGAGCTATTGGACATCTACTGGGAATGCCAAAAAATATAGCCACGTTGGACAGTTTCTTTCTTTCTTTTTTTTTTGAGACAGAGTTTCGCTCTTGTTGCCCAGGCTGGAGTGCAGTGGCACGATCTTGGCTCACTGCAACCTCTGCCTTCCAGTTTCAAGCGATTCTCCTACCTCAGCCTCCTGGGTAGCTGGGATTACAGGCATGCGCCACCACGCCCAGCTAATTTTTGTATTTTTAGTAGAGATGGTTTCACCATGTTGGCCAGGCTGGTCTCGAACTCCTGACCTCGTGATCCACCCGCTTTGGCCTCCCAAAGTGCTGGGATTATAGGCGTGAGCCACCACACCCAGCCCAGTTTTTTTTTTAGATAAAGTTTTTACAGGTGTGTACCACCATCCTAGCTAATTTTTGTATTTTTAGTAGAGACAGGTTTGCCATGTTGCCCAGGCTGGTCTTGAACTCCTGGGCTCAAGCGATCCGCCTGCCTTAGCCTCCCAAAAAAGTGCTGGGATTACAGGCATGAGCCACTGTGCCCGGCCCAGTTTCTTATATACACTTATATAATCCATGAATCCCACCCTCAGGTGTTTAACCCAAAGTAACAAAGCATACATTCGAAGACTTGTAAATAAGCACTCATAATAAACAATTTAGATGTTCATAAACTGTTAACAAGTAGATATGAAATACTATTCAGCAAGAAAAAGGAATTAACTACTGAGACTTCTAACTACTTGGATGAATCTCATAAATATCAGAAGTGGAAGAAGTATGACACAAAATACTGCATACTCTGATTTATTTGATATGAAATTGTAGAAAAGACACAATTAGGGAAAGAAGGCAACTTAGTTGCCTGTCACGGGCTGTGCTGAAAATGGAGGAAGGGTACTGACTGTAAAGAAACATAATAGAAAGTGTTGACATGGTGGACATATTCTAGATCTTGACTGAAGTGGTGATGATTTTACAAGATTCATGCGTTTGTCCAAAATAACTAAATTAAAACAGATACAATTAATGAATTTTATTGTATATAAATCATATCTCAATAAAGCTGATTTGAAAAAAAATAGTAAGGCTATTTTCCAAAGCTCTATGTAATGCTCTAAACAAAATAACCTGTATATTCCAGAATAAAAAATTTTAAGGAAACTATTAATTTCCTGTATTGACCACAGAAGAAATAAAAAGCCTAAGCAAATGAAATTCCATTGTGAAACACCTATCCTTGCAATTTCATAGACGTCTATAAAAGTTTTATAGAACAAATAATTTTAAAGTTAGTTTAGCTACTCAAGAAAAGAGCAAAAAGAAAAGTTATCTTATCCTTTATATAAAATCATGATAAGCAAAACAAGCAGAATTAAGAATTTTAGAGGTAAACATTTTTTTTTTTTTTTTTTTTTTTTTTTTTTTTTTTGAAGGAGTCTCGCTCTGTCCCGGCTGAGTCACTGGCCGACCTCACTCACTGCAACTCCCCCCCCCCCCATTCCCGCCTCACCTCCCCCCACAGCCCCCCCCCCCCGCTAGTTTTTGTATTTTTAGAACGGTTCACCGATTAGCCAGGATCTCCGACCTCTACCGCCCGCTCGCCTCCCAAAGTCTGATTACAGCTGAGCCACCGCCCCCAGGTAAACATTTTTAAGGAAGAATGAAAAACTATCATGATTTGCAAATGATCTGATTATATACAACCCAAGAATTTCAACTAAAAAAACTGCAAAGAAAATACAAATCAGAATTTGGCTTGATATAGAAGAATCAATACACCGTATAGAACTTAATAGCCTTTTCTTCATATTTTAAAAAATACATTATTTTTTACATTGATAGATAAAATTATATGTATTTACTCTGTACAACATATTTTGAAGAATATATACATTGTGAAATGACTAAATCTGGTATACAGTAAATAATAAATGCTGTTATTATTATTAACTCCTGATTAATAGAAAATAAAAAGTGAATGAACTAGTGAGATGCAGGTAAACTGAACACCAGTATTCAAAATATATTTACATCTTTCACTTCAAACATAACTCTCCCTTCCCTCCTGCCAATTCTTAGCTGATGATCTCCCTTATTCTTCTAATAAAAATGAGGCATTGAAAAGAAATACATAATACCACATCAACCCACCTATATCCACTGTCGTATCTATAGTTCTCTAAATTTTTCTTGTGCACTGGATCCTACCTCTTTGTCCTCCAATTTCCATAATTATCCTTCCCTCTACTACAATTTTACCCCTTTCTATAGAATCATTTTCATCTTAAAAATCTCACATCTTGAAATAGACTCCTGGCCAGGCGCGGTGGCTCACGCCTGTAATGCCAGCACTTTGGGAGGCCAAGATGGGTGGATCACCTGAGGTCAGGAGTTCAAGACCACCCTAGCCAACATGGTGAGACCCCATTTCTACTAAAAATACAAAAATTAGCCAGGTGTGGTGGCAGGCGCCTGTAATACCAGCTACTCAGGAGGCTGAGGCAGGGGAATTGCTTGAACCCGGGGGGTGGAGGTTGCAGTGAGCCGAGATCGTGCCACTGCACTGCAGCCTGAGCGATAAGAGCAAAATTCCATCTCAAAAAAAAAAAAAAAAAAAAAAAAAGACTCCTTACATCCCGTATCCTCTTCTAGCTACTAACCCCTTATCTAGTTCCCTCCTAACAGAATTCCCATTGGAAAAATTTTCTATCTCACTGTCATCACTACCTCACCTCCCATTTTATTTCAGTCACATCTGGCAGGCTTTTTCACCTCCAGCTCCACTGAAACCTTGTCCGCTTAACACAAGGTCACCACCAGCTTCTTTCCTGCCATGTCCTACAGGCAATTTACAGTTCAGTGGACCTCACAGATAACTACTCCCTTCCACTTGAAACATTTTCTTCATTTGACTTTTTTGGTACCACTCTCCAGGCCTACTTGTTCTCAATCTGCTTGCTGCCTCCTCTTCCTTCTCTAAATAGAGTGCCCCAGGCCTCAGTCTTTTTCTTATCTGGCTCCCTTCATTCTGTCAAACTCATTCGCTAAAGGCAGGGAATCAGCAAACTGTCTGTAAAGGACCAGACAGTCGATATCTTATGCATTGCGAGCCATATGACTTCTGTCTCAACTACTCAACTCTGCCATAGACAATACATTAAATAATTAAGTGTGGCTACGTTTCAATAAAACTTTATTTACAAAAATAGGTAGTAGGTCAGATCAGCCCTAAGTGATCTCATTCAGTCAGTTCATTGGCTGGACACCCAAGTTAATATAACTTGTCCTACCATCTCTCTGACTGTTCAGCATCTCAATTTTGATGACAAGTAGGCATTTTAAATATATATACCTAAATCAGGACTCTATTTCCCTCTTCCAAGCTATCTTTCCCATATGTCCATCTCAGCAAATTATATACACTTAGCTGCTGGTTCACCTATGATTTCTTGTTCACTCATACCCCATGGCATGTCTGTTAGCTCTACTTTCAAATTATAAGATGAATACAGCATCTTCTTACCACCCCTCACCACTACCATCCCAATCCAAGCTACTATCACTGCTAATCTAGACTTCTGAAATAGCCTGATAACTGATCTTTCTATTTCCAATCTTGCCCCTGTTTAGTATGTTCTTCACAGAGCATCTACAGCGATCATTTAAAAACATATTTTTGATTATGGCTTTCAATCACTCTTGGAAAAGAAAAATCCAAATTTCTTACTATGATAAACATAGTAAGATAGATAGATATGATAAGACCTGACCCCTGCTCAGCTCTAAATTCATATTTAGTTACTCTTCCCCACTCTGAATCTGCTCTGAGCTGCTTCAAGTTCTTCAAACACACAAAACTCACTTCTCCACTGTGCTTGGAATTATTTTCTTCCAGATTTTCACATAGCCTAAGCCTATACTGCACATCTCTGCACATATATTCACTCTTCGAAGAGCCTTCCCTGGGCAACCCACCTAAATTAAACCTGCCCAAACTCTATCTCCTTACCCTTCATAGGTTCCTTTCATAGCATGCATCATTATTTAATGTTATATATTCATTTGTTTACAGTTTACTATGTATCTCCCCTACTACAATGTTAATTCCATTAGTATAAGGAGGTTTTGGCCTTATTCACCAAGGTACTGATATATGCTGAATATGTGAAAGACTGAACTTTTAGACATTAGAAACAAGCACACATATCAATGGAGAAAAGATAGGAAGCAACTGATTGCACTGGGAAAGCGCATTCTCTTTAATGAAATGGAGAGTAATATGGGTGGAAACAAAAACAGACAGGTGGTAAGCAGGAGCCAAGATGAGGTTCTTTTGATAGTTCATGCTAAGATGATCTGTTTTCTTCACTGTCTTAGGCCTTTTCTCCAAAGGCCTGAGGCCTCTGAGAGGAACTACCTGCACAGCATGCAAAGCCTATGTATGCTCCCTCACCAGCTGGCCGCGACTGGCAATGAGGGCTTCCATCTGCCTGATGAACTCTCAACTCACCTGGGTACTGTCTTCCTGTCACATCCCTCACCGCCACGCAGGGCTCTTTCCCTTGCTCCAATAAGGTAATCACATCTGGCTTTGAGCCAGAATATCCTGCTTCCAAGAAAGAAATACAAGAATATATAGAAGTAAAACATTGCACATTCAGAAACATTTTGAGACTTGGTTAAATTCATATGGATCAATGTGATTTCGATAAAGACTTCAGAAAAAACTGACAGGATTAAAGAATATTCAACTTAGTGTAACCTCAGGATCCCAGAGAATAAAGAAACTTGATGGGCAGGGGAATTAAAATTCATCCAGGAGAATTTTAATTCATTTTAGAATTAAAACTCATACAGACTGGGTCTATTGAGAGGCAGTAGTTATTGAGGGCACAGACTCTGAAGCCAGACTACGTGGGTCCAAATTCTACTCTGCTACCTATTGACTAATGATTGTAAACAAACTGGTTAAATTCTTTGGGCCTCAGTTTTTTCATCTGTAAAATGAAAATAAAAGTAGTACCTTTTATTTTCTTTTTTTCTTTTGTATCTCATAGCTAATACTTAGAATGGTGCCTGGTATTCAGTAAGCACTCTATTAGCTATTATTATTTTTGTTGTTGTTAATTTACTTAGAGCAAAACAAGAAGCTTCCTAAGATATTTCTAGGTTCTTGCTAAGATATTCATTTAAAGTTAGATGCTAAGTTAGTAAATTTTATTTTACTCTAACTAATTTCAACTTTTATTTTAGATACAGGGCCAAATGTGCAGGTTTGTTACCTGGGGATATTGTGTGATGCTGAGGTTTGAGGTACATTTGATCCCACCACCCAGGTACTGAGCATAATGTCCAATAGGTAAAACTTCCAGTCACAAATCAGTAAGAGAAAATGTTTGTTTTAGGAAGTAGAATGCATTCACTTTAAGTCAATTTTATTGGTCTGAACCATGGCATGTAAATTGTAGACCCTGGGTGGGGCTGTTATCCTCGCAGGCATGTTACTAAATAACAGAGCATCCATAGCAATTCTGAACTCAAATGCAATGTGAAACCTGATTTCATTGACATTGGCTTTGGAGTAAATGCCCCAAAATTCAAATCCAGTCTCTTAACTATTAAGGGAGAAGCAACTACAGGAATGGATTAAGGAACATTTCATGAGGCTCAGTGAGGTATGGTGAAAATGAAAGCATTTAGTGCAAGTGCCATTCACAAACCATCAAAGTTCAGTCCAGTCCTTGAGGAAGAGAGAAGAAATTCAGCTAGTTTCTTAATAATGACTCCTAAATTTGTGGAAGAGAAAGCTACTATTTCAGAAAACGGAGTCTACATTATTTGACATAGGTGACCTTACCCAGTGAGACCAAGTTACTATAATTCTCCAACATCACATCTCTGTACAATTTCCTCTGAGTAGTGTCCAGGCACTCCCATTCCTTCTGAGAGAAGTCTATAGCCACATCCCTGAACGTCACCAATGCCTGAAACCATAAACCAACATATTACTGGTGAAATTACACAACAAGTCTTTTAAAAAGAAGCAAAGGAGATAAAAGGTTTCATTGCAGCAGGGGGTACCATACTAAACTCTAGGCTGGGGCTGAAAGCTTATGATAAAGAGAGAAGAAAGGAACCAGGTGTTCTAAAGCAGAGTCACCTCATTTTCTTGAAGAATCCAGCCAATGTATACAAAATTTCCTGTATATTACGGGGTTCTTTACTCAAAACATTCCTGGGAACAAATAAATGTTTCCCAATTCAATTAAACAGTGGATACAAGCAAATAAACTATATTTCTACCTCAAAAATTCTCAATAAATTATTAATAATAAATCCTTTAAGAAAACCACTTAATAAATAACTTAAAGAAAAAAGAATCCTATATCTTCTTTTTCCTTTAAGTTTATCTATCTATCAATCAATCAATTGATCAATCGATATGGGGATCTCGCTGTATTGCCCAGGATGGAGTACAGTGGTGAACGCAGAAGTTCAAGGCCATAGTACCTCACTGCAAATCTGGGAGAATACAATTATCTAATATTTATGTATCTGGATGATTTTCTTATAAGTACTACACACCTTCTTTGTTCTTGAGATTAAGAATACTGATGTAATGAACCAGAATCATCCTGATGTCAAGACTAGCACATTTCGTTTAACCACAAAATGCATCTTACTATGGGTTTTCACCTCAGAGATTCTCAGGAAAGATCCCGTGACCTCTCTATAAGCAGGCCCCAACCACATACTGAAACTGAGGCCAATGAATATTAAACTGCGTTTTATCTACAGACACAGGATCTGTGGAAAACTGCAGTGCTTTCCTATGTGTAGTCAAATGAGTCCATTCTTGGTTTCATTACACCTCAGATCCGACAAAGGATGGTAAAGTACCTCCATCTAGGAACTTCATGTCTGTCCATCCCTGCTCTAGACAGAGACTGAGTACCCTGAATGATCTGGTCAATGTGCACATGGATACTGGTTAGAAAAGAGAGGGGGCATAAGGGAGGAGCTTGGGAATGTGGGGATTAAGAAAAAATTGTGTTAGGAAGTGTCAGCATAAAGAGCGAAAATGTTCACATGATCTTGAAAAACAAAAGAATCTAAAGAAAGAAAGAGAAACTGTAACTTACATGGGCCATGGTTTTAGACTCACAAGAACTGCTCAGTCTTCCACAGGATTATTCTGCTGGGGAAGCAAAGTTCGGAGAAGCCTGAATTAGAGAAGAAAAAAAAGAGTCAATGAGACTAGGTTTGCCTCAGAGGTAACAACATGATATAAATTAATAATCTTTTATTTTCCATTGTTGCTTCTAAACACCTCCCCTACACTTCCCTCACCTCCCTCCAACACACTCTTACCACACCAAGGGAACCTGGCTTACAAGGATGGACACAGTGCAGAGGTTCTCCTGCGTTAGAACACACAACAAATATTTCAGCAGGAGAGTTCTGGGCCAATCCCCACTATGAGGATACTGATCTAGACCCAAGGCTGGGATGTTCAGAACTGCCCAGAGTAGATTCTCTTCCCTCGATTCTCACCATCTAAAGGGGTCAGACCACATTGTCCAAAGCAGACTGCCTTCATGGCCTTAGGAGCTTCCTGGCTTCCTCAGACTTAAAGACGAAAGATAGAACAGACTAGGAGTTTGCAACCTGTGGCCCATGGGCCAGATCTGGTCCACCCACATGTTTTTGTAAATAAAGTTGGAATAGAACACAGCTGTGCTCATTTGTTTACTTCTGACTATGGCTACTTTCAGAAAGCTACAGTAGCCAAGTTGAGTAGTTGCAATGGAGACTGTATGGGCCACACAGCCTAAAATACTTCCTATTTGACCCTCTATAAAAACCATTTGCTGGCCGGGCATGGTGGCTCACATCTATAATCCCAGCACTTTGGGAGGCTGAGGCGGGCGGATCACCTGAGGTCGGGAGTTCAAGACCAGCCTGACCAACATGGAGAAACCCTGTCTCTACTAAAAATACAAAATTAGCTGGGTGTGGTGGTACACACCTGTAATCCCAGCTACTCAGGAGGCTGAGGCAGGAGAATCGCTTGAATCTGGGAGGCGGAGGCTGTGGTGAGCTGAGATCGTCCCATTGTACTCCAGCCTGCGCAACAAGAGCGAGACTCCGTCTAAAAAAAAAAAAAAAAGTTGCTGATTCCTGGCATAGACAATCCATGATGGCCTTTATCATTGCAAAATTATACTTGCACACTGGGATCCCTTTTCCTAGCCTGAACTAGAGCTCCCACAATCCTCAGCGCTCACCACTACCCATTTCCTTCAATCAGAAGAGTCCCCAGGGTCCCTGCAGGACATCATTCACCCTCCCTTCTCCCTCAGTACTCAGAGGGAGAAGTAAGTTTATGGCCCTGGAAGCAATTTAAAAAATCAACTTTTATGTGATGCATACCTTATATATAGATATTTAATCCTTAGAACATCTCTACAGTGTCATTATTATCTCCACTTCAACATCAGAAAAACAGAAACCTAAATCCACTGTTAATAAACAAGACATCTGAGTTCTGAATCCACAATTCTCCAACTACAAAGCCAGTTTTTTTTCAACTGTGCTCTTGTCACTGATACCCAGATTTTCTTATTATGCCTAATAAAACCTGAGCGTGAATAATGACTCGAGTTTAATGACTAAAAGCTATTAAATGCTGCTACTCATTAAGATAATATACGTTAGAGTGGCAAATAGCATTTTATATTTACAACACGGGAACATTGAAAAGACTGATAATAACATGTTGAACTGGAGTAAAATAGATGCCCTCACACCATGTTATATACTGGTGCCACCTTAAAGAGGGTAAATTACAAATTTATATTAGCAGAGTTTAATAATGTGAGCCAGATGTTTCAGTAATCTCACTCCTATGACCCTGTCTAAGGAAAATAATTATATATGTTCACTAGGATATATGCAGACAGGTGCAGATAGACTAATTTTAAAATGGAAAAAGCTAGATACAAACATAAATTAGACTTCAATAAAGAACAGGTTAAATAAATTCTAGGGTATCCATATAATAGAAAATAAAGTAGCCATCAGAAATAATACAGATTGGGAGTCTGCAAACTTTTCCTGCAAAGAACCACATAATAAATATTTCAGGCTTTGTGGGCCAGCTGGAGGATCCCTTGAACCCAGGAGTTCGAGATTGCAGTGAGCTATAACGGCACCACTGCACTCCAGCCTGGGTGAGACAGTGAGACCCTGTCTCTTTAAAACAAATACAGTATCTGCAAAGTGCAATAAAATGACGCACAATAAAATGAGGTATGCCTACATTATCATTAATGTTGACACGAATATCTTCAAACAAGAGGGAAGAAAGTACATTTGTCTATAAAAGGGCAACACAACAGATCCTTGTGGTGAAGGAAATGATCTGTCTTGACTATCAATGTCAACATCCTGGTTGTCATATTATACTACAGTCCTGCAAGATGTTATCATTGGAGAAGACTAGGTTGAAGATAACACACAATGTCTCTATTATTTCTTACAACCTCATATGAATCTGCAATCATCTCAAATTGAAAAAATAATTTAAAGAAATTTTAAGAATTTCATTTTCAAATATTTGCTAGATGAATTAAGTTTTTACCCCCTTCAAATCCTGAAGGCAAATTAATGCTCCAGGTTGTACTGTTCAATAGGAAGACTGCTAGCCATATATAGCTGTTTACATTTAGATTTATTAAAATTGAACACAATTTTACAAATTTGTTCTTCAGTCAAACCAGCCATATTTCAAGTTCTCAGTAGACATATGTAGCTAGTGGCTACTGTATTGGAAAGCACAGATATACAAAATGGAACCCAGTTTTGCAGAAATTTCTGTTAAAAAGCATTGTTCCAAAGTGTTACACGACTGATACCCTCACTTTGCAGGTGAGAAAACTGAAGCCAGGAGATATCTGTATAACACAGCGCTGCTCATTGTCACAATATTATGCTCACACACTTCTTCCCCCGCATCCACTGCCACAAGTGAATTCTCAGTGAATCATTCACTAAATTTATGTAATTTCATAGGAATGTATTTTAAATTCATGACCATGCAAAGAAAAATCAATTTCTTACAGGATATAAGATACTCAGTCGCAGGCTGAATCTGATTAAACAGACATCACCCTCAAAGCTATAATCAAACCATTCCCAAGACCCTTCCGCACACAATTCGAATGCGCCAATAATAGCCTCTCCACAGTCTCAAGCATAATCTGACGCACATCACACAGGCATGGCCACTATCCAGTCTGCCCCCACAGAGGACACTCGGACACGGACACGCGAGCGCACAGACACAGACACACACACACGGCCTTGAAGAATGCGTCACACTTCCGAACCCCGGTGAGCAGCAACCCGGTATCGTGGCCACTGCGTCACGGCCAGAGCTGTCAGAGAGAAATCCAGACCTTACCTGACAGCCTTTTGCAGCTCTTCTAGCTCGGGACGACATTCACCTGAAGGCACCACGGCAAGATTCAACCTCTTTGTGTGAGATTCTCTGGAATTTCTGGGGCGTTACTTGAGTATAATGGAATAGGGTAGGCTCAGACCATAGTAGGGTAAGTCCCACAGTTCGAGCAAGGGAGCCTCAGTGATCGCTGTGTTCTGGAGCGCTGGACCTGATCTTAGCCGCTGGGCCTGCGCAGAGACGACCCGTCCGGTTTCCAGTTGTAGACTACGTTTCCCGAAGGACCCTGCGTCGCTGCGCCCCGTCGTACACCTACGCTGTTACGTCTTGACGCACGGAGCCTGTCTGCGTCGGCCAGGTGAGTGGGCGGCCTCACCGGGAACCGCTCGCTGATTTTGGTTTGGCGCATTGAAAAAGAAGCTCTTGTATGGTGCTGGGAATACCGGGGTCCTGGCTTGGGCTCGGTGCTGACAGGAAAGGGACGGTGCTCTAGGCTGATTACTTATGGAAGTCGGCCTTGCGGATGCGGAGAGGTGTCGGCACCGTCACTTTCGTTCTGGGAGCGGCGGGGGCGTGGTGCTGCTAGTTGTGTTCCTTCGCTCCGAATTTATGAGTGTGCGCCTGGAGCCCCTGTCCGGGAATAAAATCGGCACCATCACTTTGGGATAGGGAGCCTAGAGAGAGAGGCGGTTGTTACTAGTAGTCTTCCTCCGCCCTGGACGTGTGCGTGTGCGCTTGTGCGGCCGCGGGGTGGGCTCTCCTGCCGCCTGGTAATGCTCCCAGCCCTTGGCCCTCCCGTGCCGCATTACTCCTAGTGTGACACGGACAGCGTTACGCCAGCTGAGAATC